TCCCCCATCTCCTTTTGTCTCCTATAATCTCCCCTTGTCTCCTTGTTTCCTCTCAACTCCCCCCATCTCCCCTTGTCTCCTATAATCCCCCCTTGTCTCCTCTCAACTCCCCCATCTCTCCTTGTCTCCTCTCAACTCCCCCATCTCTCCTTGTTTCCTCTCAACTCCCCCATCTCTCCTTGTTTCCTCTCAACTCCCTTATCTCCCCTTGTCTCCTTGTTCCCTCTCAACTCCCCCATCTCCTTTTTCCTCCTCCATCTCCCCTTGTCTCCTTGTTTCAAAAAAAGTCAGAAAAGTCCACAAAGAATCAGGAAAAGTCCCGAAAAAGTCTGAAAAAGTACAACAACAAAAAATCTGAAAAATCGTTTGAATCAGAAAAGGTCCAGCAGCTCCTCCGTGGGGAGGGACAAGGACAAGTTAACGCTGATTGTGGTTTGTATTCATGTGCAACTCCTTGTTTACATTACAGCTAATTAACTGTTTCACCACTCGTAGACATGTTTTCAGATTTCACTAAAAGTGGGTTTTTTGTTTTTATTCTGACCAGAAAACATTTCAGAAGTCGGAACAAAACGTCTTTGACTCCATAACTTTTAATGTCTTTTATTGAGGATTATGACCCTAATCCCAGAAGAAAAATGCACTTTTGGTCAAATGTGAAAAATCCATAAAAAAAAAAAAAATCAGGAAAAAAAATCTGAAATGTTCCAATTCTGATTTATTTGAGAAAAAGTCCCCAAAAACTCATAATTCTGACTTTTATTCCAGAACAAACAACAACCCGACTATAGGTCGGATAAACCAACTTCACACGTCACCCTAAAGCTTTAGTTTCTTCCCAAACATCCAATGACGTTATTTAAAATCTTATTTTCCAGGTTTAGTGCTTTCTTTAAACTAAACGTCTCCGGTCGCGTTCACACCTGCCTCGTGTAGTCCGGTTGAATCGAACCCTGGTGCGTTTAGCCGCGGTTCATTTGGGTCGGTGTGAACGCAGTCTGAGACCTCTGAAGTGAACTAAACAACCGGACTCTGGTCCGCTAAAATAGGTGGTCTCGGAGCGCTTGCTAGTGAACTCTGGAGCGGTTCATCGCTGGTGTGAACGTAGTCCGCACCAAAACATAGGAAGCGTAGTATTTACGAGTCACAAGAACGCGGATGTCTTCAAAATCTTTAGCGAAAGAGTCTTTGAAGACATCCGCGGTTGTTTAGTGAAAGAGTGAAGCAGAATGAAGTGTTGAACAGTGTCGTGTAAAATGCTCCGTCAGCTACATAAAAGCCAGAGCCACCTCTCGTCGGTGAAACGCCCTCCTGACTGCAGAACGTCTCATTATGTGTTATAATGTTTTTTAACGGACGTTGTCTGATTATATAACGTTAATCCCAGAAGAAAATCACTTTTGGTCAAATTTCAAATGTGAAAAGTCACAATTCTGACTTTTTCCCCCAGAATTACAAAAAGAATCTGGTTTTCTTGAATCCCTTAAATGTGTGCGTTCCTCACCGGAGTCTGGGTCTGTGGGCCGGGCCTTGCTCCTGGAGGAGAAGCGGTCCGTGGAGGCGACGGTGATTCCCACGGTGTGGTCGACTTCTTGTGGAACAAAGCGGGAAAGGTCGATGTCCTGGACGTCTACGAAGTCATCCTGAAATAAAACAACACATTCAGACACGAGTCTAACACACGAGAAGACCCTCAAGATGTCTCTGTGGATTTAGGAGGGGACGTAGCCTCCATGTCGTGTTTCCTTTAGTTTAAATGAACATAAATACGATGTTTCATGTTAAATCCTGTACGTGTGTCGGTGATCTTTATTAAGGAGTTATTTGCACCCTAAATGCTGGATGAAGAGTAAAGATGCTTTTCTTTCTAAGTGTAAGGATATAGACTTTAATGCTTTATTACATTTAGAGACATTAAACTCCTAACTTTCCTCTCAACTCCCCTTGTCTCCTATAATCTTCCCTTGTCTCCTATAACCTCCCCTTGTCTCCTATAATCTCCCCTTGTCTCCTATAATCTCCCCCATCTCCCCTTGTCTCTTATAATCTCTTCTTGTCTCCTCTCAACTCCCCCACCTCCCCTTGTCTCCTATAACCTCCCCTTGTCTCCTTGTCTCCTCTCATTACATTCAGAGTCCTTAAAGCTTGTATCATCTGCAGATCTGATCCCCGTCTGCTCTCTTTTAAAAAGAATAAAGCAAACACTGAAACTCTCAGCTTTATAAAAGAAGAGTATTATAACTCAAGTACTGAACCTGTTAAGCCCCAAAGACCCTGCCGGCGGGGGGGAGGGGCTTAACATGTTAAGTTAAACATTGAGGGACTTGTTCTTCCCTGAAGTCTTCTCACATGCTTCGTCCACTCCCTTTATCATTGCTGTTGTTTTTATTGTGCATGTTGTGTCTGAAACGACTCTATAAATAAAGTTTGATTGAACAAAGTGTGTGAGTAACTGTACCTCCTCCATTTCGTTCTCATCTTCATCATCGTCTTCATTGATGTATCGAGTGTCGTCGGCTTCATCGTCGTCTTCGTCCACCAAATCTGGACGAAACTCAAACACCTCGCGTCCGCTCACCTGCAGAGAACCGTTTCATTTCCATGTCATTACATTTCAACAACAAGGAGCTTTGTTCACTTATCCCAAGTTTCCTCTCAACTCCCCATCTCTCCTCGTCTCCTATAATCTCCCATTGTCTCCTATAACCTCCCCTTGTCTCCTCTTTCCTCTCAACTCCCCTTGTCTCCTATAATCTCCCTGTGTCTCCTTGCTTCCTCTCAACCTTGTCTGCCTCTCAACTCCCCCATCTCCCCTCGTCTCCTATAACTCTGCTGGTCTCCTCTTAACTCCCATCTCCTATAATCTTCC